ACACACACACACACACACACACACACATATTCTTGTAAGTACCTCAGACTGAGGACCAAGTATAAGGACTCACAAACTGAGGACCAGTAGTTCTGAGCGTCTTAGAAAGATTTGAGTTTTCAAATTTTCCCACTAGGTGTCACACACACACACACGCACAGACATACACGCACACACAATAAAGTGATGACCAGGAAAATGTCCTCACTTTCAAAAAAAGACCTCACTTTGCTGGTTAAAAACTACTTATGGTTCTCACTCTGATGCAGCAACAAAGACACACACACACACACACACATAACAGCTCTGGCTATGTCTGCTATCTGCCTGGAATCGCCGCATCCTCCTTTTGGCCCGGCTGACAGAACGTTTACCGCATTACGGGAACGGGAACAGTACAGGCCCCAGGAAGCCTCAGCTATCCGGGGCCACGCCCGGGCCGGTTTAATGTTTACGGCCTGCCGACCCAATCGAACGGGAAGCAGGACCCGGCGGAAAAAGCTCCGGCACCGGACTGCAAACTCTTAATTGCTCCTCTGTGGCCGCGCCGGCGTGAGCAGGAGAAGAGGAAATCCTCTCCTCCCACCAGCCTTCCCTCTGCTACCAGCTGATAACAGAGCTGAACGAAAACAAGCGCTCCCCTCCTGTGATATTACTCGAAAATATATATTATAAAAAGTGGATTCAGGCTCGGTCAGAGGAGCGATCGCAAGGAAAAGCGAGCCGGCCACCATTCAGAGTCCCACACACACACATGACCTTTGACCCCTGTGCCTCCCAGAGGGCCCACCTGCCCTCGTTGACCATGGTGGGGTCCCCCGTGCAGGTGTAGTTTTCGATGTAGCCCCCCGACGAGCAGCTGATGGACTTCCAGTCGGGCCGGCACACGTCCAGGAAGTGTGGCCGCAGCCGGCCGATGGAGTACTTGGCGATGTCGGTCAGGGACTGGCTCATGGCGGCGCCGAACAGGAAGGTGCCCACGGCTTTGTAGAGGCAGGCCACGTAGCTGCCGAAGGGGGACTTGGATTTGAGGCGCTGCAGGTAGACCAAAAGGCACTCGCCAAAGATCATCTGCAACCGGAGCAAAGATGGAGTTAGATCCCCGTACAGGAACGCCAGGAAAAAAGCTAACAAACAGCAGCCGTCCGGCTGACTAAGGCTCAAAATAAGGAAATAATTAAGCTGAGATAAGCAGAAGCAGAATCAGAAAAACTTTCATTAAAGTATTTCTTAAATATCTAAAAATACTTTTTAAGACTCATCTTAAATACTTTAAAAATAAAGTTTAATGACTCATTAAAAAAGTAGTAAATCAGAGCTAAAACACCCTGTGGGTGACAGTTTCTGTCCAGTTTAACTGACCGAAGCTCCTTTAAAGATGGACAGAGCTGCCTAACATCACACAGAAACATGAGGGGAGGAAAAGTCCACATGCAGATTTAACTGAGTAGATTCACAAACACAGGAAAAGCCTTTAGGGTTTTAACTTAAAAAAAAGTTCCTGATCAAAGGAGAATGTCCACTTAATGTATTCAATTTGTTCAGATTTAGAATAGGGGTGTAACTGGTCTGACACGTTTGATTTGATGTGTTTTTGAGCTGATGAAGACGGTTTCCCGAAGCCCAGTGTGAGGGTTCAGCTCCAGAGGGCATCGGGACCCATTTACTCTTTTTAATAACATTTATCTCAGAAATAAGAGGCTCAATGCGGGAAAAACGTCCGTGAGGCATACGGTTCAGGCTGCTTTGTCTCAATTACGGCAAAGCAGCCGTCAGAGTTTAAGTGGAAGCTAGCCGTCGGTTTCGAGAGGAAAAAGTCTGGACTGGGGTTTTTTTTTTTTTTTTTTTTCAGTCCCTACAGGAGCAAACGGCGGAAATTCCTCTGAGGACTTCCACATCTGCCGTCCATATCTAAAGTTGTAAGGAGAGCCGGGACGAGCTGGACGGAGGCTCCCCGTCCCCACCAGCTGCTACCAGGTTAGTTTGTGTTAGTGGACGTTAAAGAGACGGGGAGACAAAGCACGAAGGGGCAGGTAGTGAGAAAAGGGAACAGAGATCTGAAGGAAAAATGGAGGAAGGAGAGAAAGAACTAAAAAAAATAACAATAACAAAACTCCGGTGCACTTACAATGAGAACTGTGAAGGGAATCATAACCCCTCCTAACAACTGATAGGAAATGGTCTCCTCTTTAAGGGGGAACTTGATCGTATCGTCATTACAGAAAAAGCCTCGGCGGAAAGGCCGGTGCAGCAAATTGAGAACGGCAAACGGGAGTCCAGCTAGCAGGGGGGGGCAACCAGAGGGAGAGAGAGAGAGAGAGAGAGAGCACAGGTTAGAAGCGGGATCCGGACACCTTCCCATCATGCAACGGGGGCGGCGGGCTCCTCGCCGGCCTTTGGAGACAATGTTAGCGGTTAGCAGTTAGCGTTAGCGGTTAGTGTGGCAACAGTGTGTGGGCTAATGGGAGGAAGGGTCCAGCTAAAAAAAAAATGGGGATCCCAGCCGTTGGGGAGACGTTCCAGCTCCTTTTCCTCTCGAATGACAGCCAAC